GGCATGACGCCTTGCGTAGAGTGCGGCAACCTTCCCAACGCCCCTTGCGTTGCTCCAGGAGAATACCCCTATTCAAGCCCGAACGTATCCAATACCCCTTGCCTAGAATGTGCCGGTCTGGCAAACCCCCCCTGCGCCCCTCAGCCAGAACCCGATGGGAACTACCAAGAAATAGGCGCCTCCATGGGCGGCAACTCCCTCACGATCCGGGTGCACAAGGACAAGAACAAAGTCGAACAGATAGACCCGAATACTGGTGCTGGAGTGGCGTCAGATACGAACAGCGAGACAGGGTGTTGCTGTTCTCCAGGAAAAATGGGGAAGAAGAGCAGACAAGATCGAACTTTGAACATGAGGCCCGGCATTCAACAGGGCAACCAAGATATGCCGTTCGCGTTCAAGATGGGAAAATCCGGAGACGGGGGCAGTAATGTGGTAGTGAACCCTCCGGTCGCAACTGCTCCGGACGGGACGAAGTTCACGGAGTTCTCGGACCCAAATAAAGAGCTGTTCATTTTGAGGGTGGGCAAGAAAAGCGAAGGAATTGACAAGAAACAAAACCTAGAGTTAGAGCTGTGTACACCGAGGGGAAAAGTGATGTAAGTTTAATTTGAAGCCTAGAAGAATGTTATTCATTATAATAAAGTAAAAGTTAACTTACGTAATGTCAACTGTTTCACAGAAATAAATTAATAAAATAGTGGCATATCAGTTGTTTTATTAGTAGACCAGGGCGGGTCTGTCGAAATAGCCCACTTCTTGGATATAAGAGGGGGCAAGCTAATTTTTGCTGGAATACCTTCAGTACAACTCATCTAATAAAAGTGTAAATCCCTAGATCTGGGCGAGGTCCGGAACATTTTCAAAATTGCAAAAATGTTAAAAAAAAATTAAAAATAACTGTTTTGTTTGAATTTTTTAATTATATCTTGGAACCTATGCATTTTGGAAGAATATTGGAGAGGAAAAAAAGTTAGAATTGAATTCTGTACAATATACTGTAAGTTAAAAATGTATAAATTTATTACCGATGTTGCACAATAGCAATAATTGATGAAAAAAAGTAAAATAATCAAGTTTTTTGGATAATTTTTTAAAAATACTTTAATTGCTACGAGGGCATTCTAATTTTGATAAAAAAACTTTAGAGTATAATAAAACAACACACTAAATTTCATTAAAATCGGTTCGATAGTTTTTGCAAAATAATTTTTTGAAAAAAATTTTGATAAAAAATGTTCGGGTTTTCAAAATATTGCACAGCCTCAAATAAAGCATCTAGATACTTGAAAATTGTTTCAACATTTCAAATGGTTATGAAGGTATGAACAAAACTGCATTATCTCGGCTACTAATGAACCAATTTCGATCTATTTTTTAAATTAAATAGAGAAATGAATAACATAAACTGTTCTTCCAAAATGAAAAACATAGGAGGCGTTTCATGTAAAACATTTTTAAAAACAGGGTTTTTAACATGTTTCAAAAACTGCTCCTTATTCGAGAATAAAATTTCAACAACCAAACTAAACACATCATACCTGGATCATAAAAGCTCTTAATTAATCTAACAAAGTAGTATGGTCCTGCATTTACGTACGTTCTTCTCAAACATTGAAATAGCCAATGCAATTCATTAGTTTTCAATTACATCTTACAATTTTTATGACAGTGTGTAGATACTGCATATTTTTAAATTATGACGTAATATTTAAATAAGTTCATGGCTAATAATTTGCAAAAATTTTTAATTAATTTTAATTAAGTCGTTAAATTTATATATTTCTTTGCATGCATGGTTTATCATTGATATTCCGGGTGTGTCGAAATGAATTAGCTTAATCTATATTTAGATAACAACAAGAGGTCAGCATTTTTAACTCTTTTGCATACAGCTTTTACAGCAGATACTGTGCGTTCATAAAAAAAATTGACAGGTGTAGGTACGTTTTGTGTACTAAAATTACTTCTTGAAATACAATTGTTTTTTTCTTACTTTATATCCTTAGAAACTTTAATAAATATGTGGAGATCGTGGTGCGAATATGGTACGGTGTGCTCGTCAGCCGATTCACTTTTGTCCTATCGACGTATGACGTCAGTAACGAGATACATACTTTCATTTTAATCAAAGTGGAGGGTACAAATACCGCACAAAAGCTGTTGTTTTCTGCGACTAGGTACGCAATGGTGGGGGGAAAGAAGCTTACAGTATGGTATGAATCGTGCTTCAAAAGTCAGTATGTGTAAACGTGAGCATAACGTTAAATATAGGGCCAATTTTGAAATTTTAAGAAAATTATCTGTTTTGCATAATAAAATTAATTATGTGAAATGCTCATAGTTCAATAGCTCCAGAAATTGATAGTTGTTAGAAAAACGACTGAAATGTGTTGCATTTCCATGCCAATACGTGCCTTGATCTCGTCAGTCTCAGTCGTTCATGTAGACACACCGTATTATATTCATACCACGGTACAGACTGAGATTAAAATAAATAAACTTGTTATTATTCAGATCAATTCTCTATAAAAATGCTTTAACATTTACGATTATTAATAAAGACCACTATTAATTTAGAAATATTGATTACATTTATTCATTTATAGACAATTAAAATTAATCTCTGTGGCAGACATACAATTGTTAGACGGATAGAACGTAGCGCATAGTATAAAAAGTTATATCACGAACGAATTAAATTTGGTACTACCACATATCTAATCTACTACATCAAATGTCTCTAGTAGTCCTTAATTTAAATTGCCCATAATGCTAACTGAAATCGCGAAATAGCCCTAAAAATGACATGTTTAGTTTAAAATGAATGCTTAGGCTTATGTAAGTCGTATATGGATTAGTCCAGATCTACATTTCCTGTTTGTTTACTAAAAATAAAAATTTGAATTGTATCTAATTTATCCTGATGACTGATAATAATTCGAGTTTATTAAACAGATTATACTCAGTTTGTTTTAAACACTTGAGATTTTTAGATAATAAATAATGAATATCTATGAAGAGAAAATTTAAAAGCATGTCTTTTTCTTTTCTAAGTTATTATTAATTACGTTAAGTAATTACTACTAAGTTATATTAATTAGTATTATTTTGTGTCAAGTGAATTTCGTAAGTTTACAAATGTAGAGCTACGTTATTTTCAAAGCTAATAAAATGAAGTTATGTACACTTTTGAATGGGAAAATAACATACATAATTACATATTATAAACATTGCGGTAAATTTATATGTTGTCTCATGAATGAGTTTGCAAAAATTTAGATATTTTTGTTTAGTTTTAGTTATCTTTGATAACAAGTAATAACAACACAAAGTATATCCATCTTTAGACTTAGAATGAGTTGCGATATTGAATTATCAGTAGACCATGGAAATTGAATATAAGTAATGTAGGTTAGTTTATTTTTAACCATGACAGGTACATATTTTAGCCCCTTTGCAATAATATAAGTCATAATAATTTTAAATTTACGGTAGCTACATGAGTTTCGAAACATTTATTAGAAGCCAAGTTGACTGCCAACAGAAAACAATAAAATCAATCCAGTTTATTAAAACACTTTTCCAATTTGGATTATTTTCTATCTGAAACAAAGCATTAAGAAATATTTGTATTACGATAAATAGGTATATAAGTGTTATGCATATTATTTTCAACATAATTCTCTGTGCAAACAAAATATTTTCAACATGCCTTATTTTGAAACCTGTTTAGTAAATTGAACAATCTTATGAAGATTTATGTACATGTTTTATCCCTCACTTTTTTTTTAACAACTTTAAAATTATCTACTAACGAATTTCTTTAGTGTATAAGAGAATGACCATTAAAATTACCTGGTCTCAGTCCCAGTCACTTTTGTTTATGATGTTAGCTTTCGAAGGAAAGGAAGTTTGAGTCGATGCCTAAGACACCAATTAAATTAATTTTTATATAAATTACATATGTACATGGTGTACATAATTTTATGTGACAAAATTTCAAAATCAAGTTACAAAATTGCAAAAAATATGATTTCTTTTTGTCCCATTTGGATGTAGACAGAAATAAACTTTGTATCAAAGTGTACTAACATAGATTTAAAACAAAATGACACTTAATTCAAACATTTCTGTATATTGAATCATTTTTAAGGAAAAAATCGTCAAGATGTGTGCACCCCAAGGTCTGAGGCAGCCCGAGCAGGATACAATGCACCAGGAACAAATTTCAACATGCAGAACCCCATGAGTCAATTCGCAGGCAACGCTGGTGGTTTTTACGGACAGGACCAAAACCAGGGCGGATACAACTTCCAATGCCCCACCAACCCTTGCATGGGCGACATGAACATGATGCCAGTTATGCAAACGCCCTGCAGAGAATGCGGAATGCTCCAAAACGCGCCCTGCCTCCCCCAAACCCAAAATTTCCCTTATGGCGCCTTTCCAAATACGATGGGCTACTACGGTGGACCCGGCGGTCCGCATATGCCTTCCTGCCTGCAACCTCCGGAGCCAGCGGAAGTCGTGAACCCCCCCAACACCCCCCATAACGAGGAGAAACTTGAGGACAACCCTCCAGATTCGGGCCCGGTCGAAGTGTGCGGTGAGACACCCATCGACGAAGACAAGGAAGTGTTCGTACTGAGAATTGGCAAGAAAAAGGAAGGTTCCGACAAAAACCCTAAGTTGGAACTGGAGATGTGCACGCCGAAGGGCAAAGAATTGAAGCCGATTCCCAGGAAAGAGACGAGGGACACCCAGTATGACCCCGCCGACGCGGCTCCCGAGGTGAAGGGTAAGAAGGGAAAGGATAAGGGCGGCAAGGGTAAAGACAAGAAGGGTAAGGGCAAGAAGAAATAACGACGCGGTGTTGCGTCAGGCAGTTACATCAGCCGGATAGACGCATTACACAGCGGTTTTACGTACCTGAAGAATGAAAGAAGCGCCGACGCCAATTGATGGACCGGGTAGGAGTGGGGCTCAGAAACGTGATCGTAGTTACTGTACCTTGTTACGTTCGTTCAGTTACATTCAGTCCAGTCTTTAGCATGGTCGGTGTTGGGTGCGTGTAACTTTTACCAGTGTTTCATGAATTAAATGGTATGTTTTTTTATACTATATTCACTAATAAAAACAATCTGACGGCTGTTCAATTTGCTGCCTCATTATTTTCGGCCATTTTCAACTTTTTCAAAGCACGCGAGGAGTTGGCGCCAAATATTTTGGCCTTTCACATAATACACATATCTTCACCGAAGGGTTTTTCAAGTAATTAGACGGAAGCAAATCCTTCAGATCATATCCACGTCCTTTTGAGCTTTACATTGGAATTGCGTCAGCTTTAGCGTGGCCATATCCATATGAAAGCACGTTTCAGTGTTGCGTCATCCTGAAAATTTATTTCAAGGGGGGAGCTTACACTTTAATGAATGATACATCTGTAAGATGAATAATATATACATCGATTTGATGAAAATGACGCCAGATTGTGTCTACTACTACGTTTACGCTATAACCGTGAGCACGTGGCCGGCTTCTTACGGTGCATGTCTAAAATAAGCAACTCGCAAGTCTATCTCGCTATATTTAATTTCAAACACACTGACACATATTTCGGGCGTGATTATTGGAGTTCTATTTATTGCATTTGTGGCTTCGCGATTTTGCAAATGTTGACCGGCATTTTTGACTGTTTCAGGTTACACTTTGTTCGATGCTCCCATATGTTGATAACCTCACTTTCCAGGCGACCATGTCGCTTTCTTTGGAATCACTATCTTTTAACGGCAACTTATTTTCACATTAAAATCACCTCGCAAACAAATGTTTGTATCTACCATCGTATAATGTCATATAAAAATTTAATACGATTAAACTCTTCGTATGAGGAATTTCTCTGAATAGTGTAATGGAAACCTCATAAAAATGTATATTTGTTCAAGGTTACTGATTTTAAATGCAATACAAATATTTGCAAATGCTTTAAATCTGAAATATGGGACATGGAAAATATGTTTAGAGTTTCGTTTTTCATTCTTATGTTATTCATGATTTTTCAGTTATGTTCTTTCTAAAGTAGGTAATCATGATTTGCATTGTAAAAGCAAAGGGGTTATTGTCATCTCCACCTCGGTTTCAACCTCAATACAGTTTTCATAAACTGACCTATACCAACAAACATATCGGGGCATTATGATGCAATACGTAAGCAAAGTTTCAGTCTGATTGTGAGACTTAATCAAACATTATTTCATCAAAGTTACAAATAGCAGTGTACACACAGCATTATTTCCCTTATCTTTTTTACCTTTCATTTGTAGGAAATTTTCTTGCGATTATAAGGCGACATATAAAAAATTTTTCATTATTAAACTACCTTTATTTTTTAAATGGACACCCTGTATATTTGTCGCTTATTGTCTTTGATATCACAAGTTTAATCTTATAAATTTCCTACTACTTTGGTCTTTACCATTTCTTCATAGATAGAAAAATTTAACATTGGTATAAGAAATGTATACAATTGATTTCCTCACTGAAGTCATTTGTATGCAACTCTTGAGATTGCAACACGACATATATAGAATTTTATATTAGCTCTCTAATTTCCTTTATAAGAACCATTGTACTCTATTTCTATTAGTTGTAGACGATTTCCATGGGATTTTCTTTGAGTCACTTGTTGTGATACTTTCTTATAGTGAATGTTTCGCGTTTTTGAGGTACAAAATAATTTTTTATTATGGGATTTTATGGAATTTGAATATATTGACACTGTTTAATTATGAGGAAATACATTTTTTTCCGAGGCGTTGCCCCGGTTTGCCCTGCTATATCTACGCCACTGTGCCGGTATAAACGAAATAATAAACTGTAGAGCTCTCACGTTTCAGACAAAATCAATACTTTTACTTCTGAAGAAGTCCACTAGTCTATACTACGCAAAATGAGTATGAGAAAATCAATGGTTACATATGTTTTGTATAATCCTTATAAAAATAATTCCCAAGCAATAATTTTTAAAGTAAAGTAAAGAATAAAATAGGACAGGAAAAGGAATGATGTTCGTTTGGATGTATTATGAATATCTAAATGTTAAACGAGTTATCACGATTAGAAGGAAAGTATATCGAGGAAGCATTATTGATTCGACGATTCGACTAAATATTCAATGAGTATTTGGAAAAATTAAAAATAGATCAATAAAAATGATACAATTAGATGTTGATAAACTCTATTGACTTCTGCGTATCGTAATTATTTAAATTGGGGGATAGAGAAAAATACAAACAGAAAAATTTAAATGAGGAGTTGCAAATCCATTTACATAAACTAAGACTAATTAGAAGTACAACATTGAAAAATTTGTTTCACTGAATTATAAAAAATTATTTACAAAAAAGTGCAGAGATTATTTTGTCACAGTATTTACAGTTGTGAGTATCTGAATCTCATGGTAGTTGTGGATTTGCAATAACGCTTCTCAAATCATCTGTCTTTAATCCTCAAATCACTAAGACGTAGTAAGCACGGTTCACCGAACCTCCAAAAGTCGTTTCAGTTTACTGAACTGTTGCAAAATCTTTTGTGATTCATTGGAGCATTGTAAAAAGTAGACAAGTGTTACGTAATTAACCAGAAAAGTTGTAGATATACAACGTTTCTGTTAATTATAAAAACTGAAGATTAAAAATACTAGTAGGTATTGAAAAATGGTAGGAATCGTGATTTGTCCGTCCTCTTGCATATTGATACTTCTCACAATCAGTTTCACTGACAATAAAATTTTATTATCAAATAAGTGGTATCAAGAATATTTAATTTTCATTGCATCATCCGTAAAAAATCGACGATTCGCAATAGTTACCTGAAAATATAATTTTTCATCAAACGGAAGACTTTTATGGTTCCCCGAAATCCTTTTAAAATTTTTGCAACTCATGTAGGCATAGTACGAATAGTTGCAGCAATCTTAGATAAATATTTGCTCAAGATATTAAGAGTACATACAAAAAGATATGAGCAATTTGTATTATTAATTTCGTGACCAAGAAGTAATTATTTCATAGAAGGTTTACACTGATGAAAATGTTAATTGATAAATTACCAACACGACAACGTACAAACGAAGAAGCAAAGAAAAAATATTTTTTTTCATTTAGTTAAACAAGCGAATAAAGTTTCTGGAAATGCCTTATTTAAAGCCTTGGCATACAACCAGGTTGATTACATCATAGCAGATAACAGAAAGATAACCATTGCGGTACCATCAAATTAACTGATAGAACACTGTTTGTCATAATATTTAAAACAGTATATATCCAAATAGAGGCTGAAATTCCGATAGCGTTACAAAGAACTGACCACAAAATTGATTAAAAATGGTAATTTCAGACTATCTGCGGAAATTTTGTCCCGTATTTCTTGATCTTTAAATGGCGTTTATACTGACAATTTATTTATGAAGAAGTTGGACACTTCTAATGTACCCAATTTGTAATATCAATTCATGAATTTATTCATACGTCATCAATTTCCATGTGAAAGCAGAATTATATATTTCTTTCATGTTATTCATCTAACAAAAAATATAGTAATTAACAGGAAGTAAATTTTCTTTGTAAACGATGTGTGACTTGTAGCGATGTAGAAAATATTAATCATCGTTGTAGACGACATCTATTAAGTAAGCGTGATAGAACATGATTTGAAGGCACATTTTTTAATCCAAATGACATTCTGATGAACTCCTAATATCTATTGCTATTGCCGGTTGAGAATGCCGTTTTCTCAATGTATTTAGAATCTATTTCTACTTATTGCTATTCACAGACTAAGTCTAATATTGCTCAGCGAAAAACACTATAGGGCTCACTTCATTTTAGGTTTAATTTAAATGGTACAATATAAACTATCAAATATGGAATAACTGCCCTATTAGAATTGTTTGAACAATCTGAAGCAGATCAAAGTCTGTTATAAAAAGTCTCTATACCTTGTGCAATTTGCGTTTCACATTAATTAGGTACCTCTTTCAACGCATATAAATATTTTTGTACAGAAGCAATTCGCGTGTTTCGCTTTGCCAAACTTTCACCTAACAATTCCGTGACGTTTTCGCGGCGCCCACAGAAAAATCATTGCCCATAAAATGTCCGCCACGAGCTCGATAAGCTATCACGTGCGTGGGTTAAATGAAGATAAACTTGTAGTAAAACTATTAATATTAAATATTTGACGAAATGAAGCGTAGTATAAAGCCGTCATTGGCGTTAATTGCAGGCGTAAAATGTTTCTAGTGCATGTTACTACAATTTTTGCTGATTGCAAAATAATTATGTGTACTGCAAAAGCAAAATGCAGTAATTACACGATGAGATAACAGAACTCTCAAATAAGTCACAATATTGTATTTGCAAATCCGCTATCCCAAAGCGCAATGTCTACGTCTTATTCCTTCTAACTGAATGCCTTCTTTCTCAGCCTCGCGCAGCTTTGCCCGAGTTAAAAACGCAGACTTGTGTGCGTAAAAGTCTAAATCACCATGCAGCACGAAATCAGAACATCTTCATAGATTTTTCAGAACAAACATTAGACTTTTTCATATGCATACCAGCTTACTCGATTGTTTTGAAATTGTGAAAATTGCTAATGTCAGTTCTAGATTAACAATCAAGAACCTTCTTCCTTGAATTTTTGAAGTGTCATTTTTCGTTTTGCAAGATATGTGATGTTATGATGGCAGATACTGATTTCACATGCTTTTATATTTGAGTAAATTTTGGTGTATTGGAAATATTATTCAAGAACAGTATTATTTGATTAGTCTTTTTTTTTCTGTATTTAATTACTGAAATTTGCAGCTCTATTAAAATCCATATTTACATATTTGTTTTCTTTAAGTTAACAATATATCAAGTTCTGCGTAGTACCTAGTAATAGATACCTAGTTGTAATTTTATCAACGACAAAGGTGTTTATCAAGGTTAGAACGCAGTAAACGTGGTGGTTCTAAATTATTAGTATCTTTAACAGGAATGCGTGAAAATATGGAACTCCAAATCACGCGGTTTATTAAACAATACTTGAGATTTGTCTGA